CAGTTAAAAATGTATTATGATATAGCATTTTAATGGTAAATGGCATGGGCTTGAAAACAATGGCACTGGGATTGGAAATAAAGGGAAACATGCAAAATACTAAGGCAGTGAGTCTGGCAAGATTGGTGTTCTATTGGGTGTGATGCAGAATTGACTTCCAGGTCTCTAATTGGTCAGCTGTGGCAACAGAGGTGCTAGGGCCAGCTTCATGGATATTCAACATGTGCAGTCACATGGGGTCTTATATACAGAAGAGCCCCTTACTCCCTTAATGCTCTACTGTAAGTGTCTTCAAATCCTTAATAATTTTGAACAGGGTATTTATTTTTATTCTTCATTGGACCCCTTTAAATTATAGTGCTGCTTCTGACAGATACTACCCTGTTTCCCCAAAAATAAGATAGTGTCTTATATTAATTTTTGCTCCCAAAGATGTACTAGATCTTATTTTCAGAGGATGTCTTATTTTTCCATGAAGAAGAATACAGTACACATTTATTGTTAAATGAAAATAAAGAAAATTTATTACCTGTATATGGTACAGTAGTAAGGTAGTTGTCAACATAAACCAGACAAACTGTGAATCCTACAGTATCAAGAATTTTCTCATTTATTCAATGACAATCATGTCATCATCTTCTGGAACATTATCATAACAATCCAATTCCTGAATTTCCTGGTGAATTTCTTGTGATCCATTTCTTTAAGAATCAGTGGACCAAATCTCTCATGTTTAGCCTGGGGGTGGGGGGATTATTTTTGGGGGGATGCCTTATATTTCACTCAGAAGAAAACCTGTAAGTAGGTCTTATTTTTGGAGAATGTCTTATTTTCAGGGAAACACAGTATTCACCAGAACGTGGAATAGATGAGGAAAATGAGTTTTGTTCTCATGAAAAAAAAAAAAAAAAAATGACAAGGGCCGAAACCAGTTTGGCTCAGTGGATAGAGCATCAGCCTGCTGACTGAAAGGTCCCAGGTTCAATTCTGGTCAAGGGCATGTATCTTGGTTGTGGGCACATCCCCAGTGGGAGTTGTGCAAGAGGCAGCTAATCGATGTTTCTCTCACATCGATGTTTCTAACTCTCTATCTCTCTCTTCCTCTCTGTAGAAAATCAATAAAATATATTTTTTTAAAAATGACAAGAACAGATTTGACTTTTCACTAGGGTGGAGGCTCTCTGCTAGATCTTCAGCTAGTTGCTATAAGTTTTATACACCTTTTCCTCTGTTTTTATGTAAGGTATCTAATATATGCTTGCTATATTATGATATTTTCTATGAAACCTCCATAAAGCAGTCAAGTGAAGATAAAGGGAGCGATTCAACTGAAAACAATGTTGGAATTCATCAGCCTGAAGATGATGGCTGATGTCTTGAAGTAGATGAGATAACCCAGGGTCAGGGTGCAAAGTGAAAAGAGAAGGAAGTCAGGACCTGAATTATGGAGATTAACAGTATAAACTGTAACCAAAAATATGGGAGATAATATCCAAATAAGGATAGTCAAGGTTCAAGTGGTTAAGAGCAATAACTTCAAAGTCAGATTTTATGTGTTCCAGTCAAGTATGACCTTAGATTTTTACTTAACTTTTCCAACCTGCAGTTTCCTCAAATAAATTATGAAAATAATAATAGTACCTAACTCACAGGGCTGCTGTGAGGATTAAATGATACATTCCATGAAATATGCTTATAATAGGATGTAGTACAGAAGAAAAATCAGTGAGTGTTAACTATTAGGTTTTTTATTATTATTATTTTTAAGAACACACAGCAAGGAGTAGATATCATAGGAGAAGACAAGAGGAGAAGAAAGGGTTTAAAAGAAAAAGAAGAAGTAAGTCAATAGCCAGATACCTGAATAATTAATCAAGGAATGGACAAAAAGTCCCATTGAATTTATGAACAAAGAAGCGATTAATAAGTTGTACAAGAGTCCCAGTGTAACAGTACTGTGTGGGCTGATTGTTTTTGATATTTCAGAATTTGGACTTTAACAACTTGAAACTAAATCTATCTATATCTGATGTTTCTACCAGAAAACATAAAATGATATCCTGTTTCTCTTCTGAGTTCTGTTTGATTCATGTTTAAAAGGCCTCAGTGCCCAGTCTGAAAGAAGCAGGCCCTAGCTGTGTACTGATACTGCTGTGACTTATGGGAAAGCTGATACTCCAAGCCTTATTGTGAAAAGAGGAAGTTCCTGGGCATAATTATATTGTACAACTTCCTCTTGGTAAATAAGAAAGATGAAAAGCAGCCCTAACCGGTTTGGTTCAGTGAATAAAGCATCAGCTGTGGACTGAAGTGACCCAGGTTCAATTCTGGTCAAGGGCATGTATCTTGGTTGTGGACACATTCCCAGTAGGGGCTGTACAAGAGGCAGCTGATCAATCATTGATGTTTCTAACTCTCTATCCTGCTCTCTTCCATTCTGTAAAAAATGCAATAAAAATTAAAAAGAAAGGCCAGATGCAAAACAGAGCTTCATGGAGAGTGAAGCATCTGCTTTCCTTACTGCAGGGACTGGGCTTAAAGTGGACCACAGAGACCAGCACAAAATTCTAATAATAAATAAATATTTAATTAAAAAATAAATATAAAAATACAGAGTCCACAATAAGACTCTAATTGTTTTTTTAACAAACATTTATTGAGCTCTAGACACTAGACTTGCTACTAAAGGAAAATGCTAAATTACATTAGATATAGGTTCTATAAGGAGCTTACAATACATCAGAAAAGATATGAAAAATACATTAGTGACAGTCAAACCAGGGAGAACTTAAAATGTGACATGAAAGAATTCCAAGGTGATGGTAGAATTTTTCACAGCAAGAAAGGTGTTTGGGCGGTCAGATGATGGACATTCTTGAACACCAGGCAAGGAAATTTGAATTTTATTTATTTTACAGGAGCTCTTCAAAGATTTAGTGGCAGGACCTGAGATGTACACTGACCAACAAGTACCATGCGTCTAAACTTAGGGAATAAGAAAAATAAAGATTGATATGTTGACTTGGAGACCTGGGAACAGAATTGATAGTTAATATCAGATAGAAGCCCAGAAGCATACTGAAGTTGAGAAATGTAGTTATAATTACACTGCAAATATTTACATATCCAAGGCTGATGTAGATCAATAAGTCAGTGATTGAAACAGAAAAGATGTGGTTATAATGGTAGAAGAGAAAATCTAAAAAAATAAAATAAAATAAATATTTAAAAAGAATTTCTAGAATGAGGAAAATAGCCCTTACTGTTATCTATAACATGTTTTACTTATGCTTTCTCATTTATTCATCACAAAGTGTCTTGGATAAATATTACTATTTCCTACAGATATGGAAAAAAAAAAGGCTCAGTATTACAATTTTCACTCTTGTCTCCCACTTGTTGAAAAGTCACATAGCTAATGAGTAACAGAGTAGGGATTGTTACTGAGGTAGGTCTGGCTGCGTAAACAGTGGGAAGGTTCTGGGCTCAGAGTCAGAATTCTAGTCCATTTCTGATGTGAACTCCCAGGATGACATTTGTCATGTTTTTCATATGTGTAATGAGGGTGTTCAATTAGATAATTTATTGTATGATGTTCCTTTCAGTTCTGATATTTTATGGTTCTATGGTTTTTATAATGTTGCAGTAATTTCTTGAGAGGGTGTAGAGAAGTAGATGAAACATAATGATTAGCATAAACAAAAATAAATGGGTCATCTTTTAATCAGAAATATCAGGGAATAAGAAAAAGATTAAACATACAAAATTTGAGGCAGGCATAAGAAACTGAACTTGTAGACTGGGCTGAGTGGAAGTAAACATTGAAAATGACTGTTAGGTGTCTGATGAAACATGAATCACTATATTTGACATACAACCCTCAGAGCTAAGCCCATCATGCGAACTGTTAAATGAATTGTTGGAGTACTTATTACTCTTAGCTTTTATATTTACTTTAAAGAATGGGAGGACAGAGACGATATGGATAGGTAAATTAACTTCCAAATAAATTTGTTTACAAACTATGACCTAGGTTCAAGGTCGCAGGCAAGTCTTCAGAATTCTCACAGTGCAGATAAGAGGCCAGAACTTACCACTCCATATTGCAGTAAATTCAAACCCTGATGGCATCATTGACCAACAGCCTGGTGGCCTGATTTAGTAAATAGAGCAATGGCTTGGAAATCAACATATGTCAACTCCAGTCTTCACTCAGTGACAATGGTTAGGGTTATTCACGTAATTGTGCCTCAGTTTGGATCTGGTAGGACCTACTTCATAGGTAAAATCATCCATCTTAGTGATAGATTCTCAAAAGATACTTGACAAAATTTGAGAGTTAAAACAAATGATCTGTTCAGTGTTCAGACTCTTCTCAAGATTTTAGTATCCATTATTTCATTTGTTAAATTGAATATTCTTTTGATGTGCTCAAAGATCTTTAAAAATTATGAACTATTACTTTTTAAAATAAACAAATTATAATCTTAGAATATATTGTTCAAGCTACATATGAAAAACTTCTGGGGTTTTTATATTCATTGAGTCCTCCTTCCTACCCTAATTCACCACCAGTCACTGAAATATCTACTTGTAACTACCTTCTGCTTTACTCCTTTGGAATAAAGGCCCCATTGTCAAGGTTAATTGTGGATCAGATTCCTATAAGGGTATTTGGGATCAGCAATAACCAACTTATCTCTGGGTTTAAAACCAATATTAAGGTCTATGAATAAAAAGAAGCAATCTTTTCTGAAGTGCTTTTGTTTACCTATTTGTTTTAATAAACAATCTTTAATTATTTACTCAGCCTTGTGTCAGAGGAAGTCCATGGCAGTCTGGATTTCAGCCTCAGGTCAAGGTTCTCCCCAGTTGCTGGGACACTAAGTAACTAACAATTGAAAATGCTCTTTTGAAGCTCTCTTAACATGGGTCTTTGATATATTTGAAGCAGTTGTCTCTTCAGTAGCAGCTTCAGTGCAGATACTTCAAACAAAATTATGGAACTTCAAAGACAGAATTTAAAGACAACATCGTCATTTTCTTTAGGACAATTTCACATTTCTGAAGACTGTGGTTTTCTTCTTCCAAAACCTCTGGTAAGCATAGAGCCTTTGATCAGGTCAGAATGTATTGACTGACATGCTGGTTTGTATGTTTGTGTGATTGATTTATGTAGTTATTCAGAAAGATACAATACAAATACCACGTTGTTGACTTGGGGAAAAATGCTACAAATAATGCAAAGCATAATTCCCAACAAAAGAAAAGAGATAGCTCCAGTAGAGGAGAGTCCAAATGGAATGCTTTAATGCTATTTTTCTTTTTCTTTTTTCTTCTTCTTTTTTTTTTTTTTTGATAATAGAATGTTGGTTCAATAAAGTTATGAGAAAATATAGTAGTTATCAAAAAAGGTAGAACTTAGGTAGAGATCAATTATATGAGCAAACCAATTTATCTTGACTTTCTAGTGGGAAAGAAAAGAGAACACAAAGGATTTGGAATGTTTTCAGGATTGAGAGGAGAGATTAGGTATTTCCAAAGAAGAGGAAGAAACTGTTGAGAAAGAACAGTACTTATTTGTTAATTCTACTTAAGGTTCAACGGGGAATGTAATTCTATTTTATTGGTTAACCCTTATCAACACTTCTTCCCTTTTTGAATGTGGTCTGAGGCCTGCAGTGCTAAAACTAAGAAGCCATAGAATTCGCAATCAGTAACTTTTACATTTGAGCTAGCTGAAGTCTAAAGGAAGTTGGTTTGCTCAAAGTTATATTAGTGACAAAAGCAGAGCTAGTACTCCAGACTCTTGACATATTGTTTTCCTACTACATGGTAGATAAGGGGCAAGACCACTCAGTTAAACTCGGGATCTGATATTACTATCATTGCAGTAACTTATTAGATCCACATTGTTTCCCCCCATAGGCCTAAATTGCCAATTAACTGTGTTTAAGAATGGTCTATAAGTTAATAAGTTTTTATTGAACAACTACTGTGACACTTCCTTCCTTCTGAGTTTTATTAGAGAAATATAGATGAAGATAACATCCATTCACTGGTCCTAAAAGCTCTGTTGTAGAACTGCTAGTTGTGAGACCAAGTGGTAAATCTGTGAGTAACCTGAGCATTTAAAAAAATAATAATAGCCGAAGCCAGTTTGGCTCAGTGGATAGAGCGTTGGTCTGCGGACTGAAAGGTCCCAGGTTCGATTCCGGTCAAGGGCATGTACATTGGTTGTGGGCACATCCCCGGTAGGGGGTGTGCAAGAGGCAGTTGGTCGATGTTTCTCTCTCATCGACGTTTCTAGCTCTCTATCTCTCTCCCTTCCTCTCTGTAAAAAAATCAATAAAATATATTTTAAAATAATAATAATAATAATAAATAATAATAACTTCAGAGTGTTATGCAAGATAGGATTGTAGCCATGAGTACTGGATTATGCTTTTTGACACTGCCACTAGGATTACCAAAAGTTTCCATTTATTAGAAACTGAGGGGATTCCAAAGATGTGGAATTTTACATGTTAGACCAGAAAAGTCCTGGGCAAACCAGAAAGCATCGGTCACCCTAACTTGCACTTACAAACTCTTGACCCCATCATGAATCATAAGTATTGCCTGGCCTCCAGTTCCATTTCTATTAGATGGAGCTATAGTGCCATCCTCACTCACTGGGTTGCTATGGAGCCTGAAAAGCACTTTGATAAATGCAGTGTAAGGACTAAGAAGCCATTTATCCTGATCCTCAGTCCACTGCTCCTTAAGAACTCCATTCTGGCCGAAACCAGTTGGCTCAGAGCGTCGGTCTGTGGACTGAAAGGTCCCAGGTTCGATTCCTGTCAAGGGCATGTATATTGGTTGCGGGCCCATCCCCGGTAGGGGGTGTGCAGGAGGCAGCTGGTCGATGATTCTCTCTCATCGATGTTTCTATCTATCTCTCTCCCTTTCTCTCTGTGAAAAATCAATAAAATAAAAAAATTTTAATAAAAGAACTCCATTCTGTGTGTGTAACTTGACTCAGGAATCTTCCCAATATCCCTAGTTCACAAGGAAAAAAGGGCCCAGAGGCAAACAAGCTCTTTTGGGGATTAAATATTTAAACCGAGCTAAGGAAAAATATTATAAATATTGAAGAGGGCCACAATTATTGAGTTCCTCTCTTCATTGCTTCTACTTTGTAAATTTAAAAAATGAGAAACAATAACAACATCAAGTGTTGTCCTGAGTCAGACCATAATTGTCCTGTGATCTGGCTGATGGAGATCCCTTAGTAGAAATTTCCATTATTGAGCTCATATAAAAATTTCCTGGCAAACTGGGTCTACTTTATTACAGCCATAGACCAGATATCTACAAGTGTAGTTGTTTGTTACAGTTTTTGTTTTCTTTTTCGTTTTCATTTTCATTTGTGTGAGAAGTTTAAATATCTCCCTTTCTGGGAAGAAGTGTGGGAAGTAAGAATCCATCCTGGCCTGCTCACTCTCCCCATGAGGAGAGCCTGTCATCAGCTTCTCCAGGCAGCAGTACTGTTGCAACAAACAGATCAGAAGGGAATCTATTAGTTACCAGCTTAGCCAAGGGCACGCATAAGCTTTGCTTTCCTTTTATTTAAAGCAAGTGGTGGACACAAAACTCTGGGGAGGGAGGCATGTATGCGAGGAGGGGGGAAATGGTATATGTACAGAGATAATAATTTAATGAAAAAATTAAAAAAATAAATAAATAAAGCAAGTGGTGGGAAGGCTGTTCCTCTAGGTCAGCTGGTTCTAAGATGCTTGCTATTCAAACTTAACATAAATATTTACTTCAAAGTCTCTCTGAAAAAAAAAAAAAAAACACAGTCAAGCTAATGAATAAGCAAACATTCTGGCTTTGGGGAGAAGGGGCTGACTTGGTTTCAAATGCTCTACTCCACTATTTCCATAAATGCTCAAACATTTCCGGGGTCCACCATTTCGGTTTGGAAAATGTATATATCTCAGACTCATGGACATAAATATAACACAAAATCTTTGCCAGATTTTGTGTGTGTGTGTGTGTTTGGTTTGATAAGAGAGGGTGGTAATTTTTCTTTAGATATAAAGAATCTGAGGAAATTAGCTTGGCAGGAATGAAGGGACCAGGTCAATTATAGCAGAAGATAAGATTGGAGTAGAACTAAGAGTCCTTGAAAATTAGCCTTAAGAATTTGAATTTCATACATCTGATAAATGCCATGAGGTAACTGTCATTTGAATATTTTTCTAGAAGAATGTTAAGTGCAGGGCGGGTTAGAGCAGCAGTCCCTGGCTGAATAGCTCAGTTAGAGTGTTGTCCCAATAAAGCCAACGTTGCTGTTTGATCCTCAGCCAGGGCACTTACAAGAATCAACCAGTGAGTGCACAAATAAGTGGAAAGACAAAAATTGATCTCTCTCTCTCTCTCTTTCTCTTTCTCTCCTCTTTTCTTCCTTTCCTCCCTCTAAAAATCAACCAATAATAAAAATTTTAAGAAAATACTGATGTCAGAGCACCAACCTGAACAGTTAATTCGAAATCTTTAGCCTAAGTAGCTCAGTATTTGAAAAGCATGGAATAAAGCAAGTCCAAATGAGAAAGGAAGCAAAGGAAAGAAGGACTTTCAAATGTGCCATGGAGCAGAAGAAAAGGACTGGTGCCAATAGTCCTGGGATGTGGGAAACTTTATTCTTCATATTGACTGTGCAATCATTTAGGAAAAATACATGCATACTCTCCTGTAAAATTCAAAACACTTGATAGAAGCAATAGACTCTCACTGCTTAAAAGGAAGAGTAGCAAAATAATTGCCACAGGAGGCTATGGTCTCCAGACATAGGAAGAATTCAGATACTTCCCTGAAAAATTGTCAACTCTGCTAGGATCTGGGGCTTGCCTGATGGTGTTGACTAGGAATTTGAGGCAATGGTGGGAATATAGTAGAGACAGGGACAGAAAGATCAAACTTCACAGCAGTTAATGTGAATCCATTAAAATGGGTTAGCAGTGAAGGAGATTGGATGCCAAAATTTAAGAACCAAGAAAGGTGAATAGAGCAAAAGGGGAAATAGACATAATAAGGGGAAGCAGGAGGAGGGACAGACAAGATAGTTTGCTAGAAACCAGAAATCTAAACAATTAAGCAACTTAGAGTTTCTCAAACAGAATATCTAAGCCGTACAGAAACTTGAAACAACATGGAGAGAAGTGAGCAGGCAAACATTAGGCATAAGAAAATAGACATCATTTCAGTCCAAATGAGGCTCAGGAAGTGTATTCGTTTCTTTGGGCCATCATAAGAGAAGACCACAATTTTGGTGGCCAAAAACTATGGAAATTTATTCTCTCAGAGCTCTGGAGGTCTGAAATCAGGGTGTCTCTAGACCCATTGTTCCTCCAAAGGCTCTCAGAGAGTCCTTCCCGCCACTTCCATCTTTCCATGGCTCTTGAGAAAAATGACTCTGCTCTCTTGCCTCTATCTTCACATGGCCTTGGCTATGTCTGTCTTCTTCCCTCTTTCTGTCTTCAATTTTAAGGACACTTGTCATAGAATCCACCCTAACCCAGGATGATCTTCTCTCTCAATCATTAAATTATATGAGCAAAGACCCTTTTTCCAAATAGTTACATTCAGAGTATCTAAGTGGACATATCTTTGGATGGGGACATCATTCAACCCGCTGCAGGGAGTGAGGAAAAAGACAGAGATAGAGGGAGGGAGCTGGAAAAGTAAAACATTGTTTTGCCCTGAGATTTCCCAAACCTGACCATACAGGCATGGGGAGGTGAAAGACCATGAAAAGTGAGAGTGCAAAATAAAAAACAGTCAAGGAGACACATGGCTGAGTTCAATATCATTGACAGGTTTTATAGCACAATATTAACCCATGTTCTCCAGCATGATTTAGATATGCTGAAGAAAATTCATAACCTAAGCTGTAAAATTATAGCTTCAAGGTCAGAAGAAACTCATAATATGAGACACAGTATGGGCAAAGGTAGGCAATAGGAGCTCAAGTGAAACTTATTTTTAAGTGTGACCACAGTAAGAATGTGGCTACAGTTAAATGGGAAAGGATTTCTCCTGCATAAATTCAAAC